TAGAGACAATAGGCAACCTACCATTAAACTATAAAGGTATTTTTAGTTGAATACTCTGGCTTTAATTGAAAGGTCAATAGACAATAATCCAATTTTTAGGTTATCTAACTGTTCTCCCAAATGGAAGAAACAGGTGACTTGGCCCAAAGGAACACAGAAGTGACTTTGCACATTTTTCTTATGTTTAGGGACAGTATCCATGCCACAGGCACTTAACATCTGCAGCCAATCCTGAATTCAAGAAGGGACATTATATTCCTAACACAGATGGTTGATATTAATGACAGCAGTAAAAGCCAAAGGACTGGAAGATTTCTTATATAGACACTCATTAAGATTAAATATTAATGTGATCCTCCATATTGTTAACAGACATTCTAGACTGTTCCAAGTAAAATATTTACACGCTAGGAATCATCACTTCATACTCTGACAACTTACTAACAAACCTTATCAAAGAAAATTAAATGGTATACTCTTGTGCACCAGAAGTAACTAATACTAGTAAGATTGTAATCCTTAAACTATATATAATTTTTTTGCCCCTGAAGTCTTTTTTTCTTGCAAAATGAGAAAAATATCCAATTGTTTCCTGTGGATATTAACAAATAGTATGGTTAGCTTGGCCTGTTATTTATACTACTGCTGTTTTATTTTTCTTCTTTACAAGTAATATCGTCAACAGAACTACCCATTTCAGGAAAAGTTAACATGGTTAAACACATATGGAATATGGAATGGGTTCAGCACAACTAATCCAATTTCCTACTGGATTAGAGGAATAAAGTGCAACGTTAATCAGGAAACTATACAAAGTCCAAGCATTAGACCAAATCCTATTTATGGTAACACAGTCTTTAAGAATTGTTGGTAACTATCCATAAAGAATTTAGGAAACAAGATACACCAACCTTTCTCATTTCTCAGCCACCGCCACCTACTCAGGAGGGCAGGGCAGCAGAAATAATTACCATAGAAAGGGCAAACAACTATCTAGATAAATAGAGAAGCCTTTATATTCGCAATTTAAACCATACTGACATTCCTGGTATATTCCCCTACCCCAAGAAGACACTACAAATGAGTTTACGAAATATTCCTATATTCTCAAGAAAAACCTGTTCAATTAAAGATTTTAAAATTCCAACCTTTTGGTTTTTAGTCAAGTGCCACACGCGAATCTCAAACAAGCAAAAAGCTAAATTTTTTTGCGCACACTAATGGGTCAAACACTCACCTCGTTTAGGCTTCAAAACACCCTAAGCAGTAAGGAGGAACTGACGCCTCAAAACTTTAACTGGCTATAGTTAGAAGGCGCACAAGATTTGGATCTGAAATCACAATCCAGGTCCACCTCACCGCACAAACACGAGACGCTGCCCTTGCAGTTGACTGCGCGCCTATAAGTAGTCGCAGAGTTCTTCAAAGACAAAACCACAACGTCCTAAGCAAAGTGAAGCTTATGGGTAAACTGAGGTCCCACGCTTCAGCGCGGAGTCCCGGGAGCTCACGTTTAGAGATTAGGGCCTTTAGAAAAGGCACGTTCCTGGAAAGACATGGAGAATGTTCTAACCCCCAACTCGTCGACGCTCCTCGCCAGAGTTACGCGGGAAGCCCATTCTGGAGTGTTCTGGCCGCAGGCCGCGGCAGAGGACATCCGCAGTTCCCACACCAGCCCCCAGGGGCCGGGTCCCGGGCGCGCCCCTCTCCGCGCGGCCGGGACGGGCCGGCGGCCAGGGCCGCAACAGCAGGCCCGCTCCCCGCGCACACTCACCTTCTGCTCCTCCGCCGAGGCCGCCTCGGGGACTTCCGCGGACATAGCGCTCCCTCTGCAGACCAGACGCCGGGAAAAGATGCGATTACTGGGTGGCCGAGGCCGC